ATTCTGTATAAAAATAATAATATTGGCAAAGTTCTTCCCGTCGTCATTCCCCACAGATTGAATTTTTTTGACGACCCCAAGATTCCCGAGGGTTCGCTAACGCGATCGGGAGCTCGGGCGGAAGATGATCATCCCCCCCTTATCAATCACGGGGTGTGCCAAAATAGCAGTGAGAATGAGCATGTTGTTTGGGGAGGGTGGGGGGTCTTTCCGTGATCCAAGGAAAGGGTCGGTGCAAGGCATCAGTCATGTTTCGAGTCAACTTTTGACATGGAGGAAAAAATAAATAAATGGGGGCCAAGAGTCTTGGGACTTGTCAAGATCAAGTTTTCCCGTCCACTCATTGTGTCTTATGGCCAATAAATATACGGAAGAAATGGGAAAAGTAACATACGTGTACTAATTATAAGACGACCAAAGAAAAGAAAAAGAAAAGAAAGGATGGAGTTCTTCTTTGATAGCCCCGCCAATTGCGGGTGTGTGGGGAAGTTGACCCCCCAGTTGCCCCCCACGCCCCATGGGGTTCTTCAAAGCTTAACCTTCCAATAACAGGGGTAAAACAACCCCACATGAGGAAAAGAGAAATGGTGCGATAAGGTCTGAGCCACAATCTCAGATTTCCCGGTTCCCTTCACATGCAGGACATTTTTTGACGTCCGTCTCATTTTCCCACCGCTTCTGTTTTTGGGTCTTTCTCCATGGTTTGCCAAGTGGCTTGCCCCAGAAGTACGACTCGGATGGTTCCAAACATGCGAGTCGCTGAAAAGAGAAGAAATTCATTTTGAAGGGGGAAAAAAGTTGATCGACGATCGAGGTGAGCATACACACAACAAACTTATCCAAACAGTGACCCAAACATATCATTTTAATGGATTCCTTCATGTTTAACCATATTCGCGCCCAGGTTGAATGACATATCTTTCTTTACACGCAATTTGCCGGGTCAACGACCGTGTCCCGTTGCTCTGGTTGATCCGCCGCCCCATATCTTTCCTGCTTCCCCGGCGTTGCATTTGTCCGAGTTGGTCATCAATGGGCCATGGCGCTGTTATCTTGGTTTGAAACAGCTTTCTGCTGTGTGAATGTGACCCTCCGAGGGCACCTCCCTTCTTGTGCCTGAGTTTGAGCGTCCAGACCTGTCGCTCGCTTACATTCGCCTACTCAGCAGACACTTTAGGATCTCCGCCTAGAGGAGGCCATTCCCACGGCAGATATGATGAACGTGGTGTGAAAGTACTCTAATTATTGCGTGTTGAATATATTGCTCTGCAGCTTACCTCGGACTCTAGAGACGCAGGCACAACAAGCAAGTCCAACCTATTTTCATCTACGGCTTCATTTACCTCTGCTTATCCAGCCTTTTCGATATATGCCGGAGGCTTGAGTGTGGGGGAACATTGCTTTATCATGCCTTTTTGACGGGTTTGATATTAATTGGATTGATTGCTTTCGCACCGGGAATCATTCAAGACGCTAAAGCAACCCAGAGCCGCGCTACGATCCCGAAGATTTGCACGGGTTCAGCCTATATCGCATCCCAGCTATTACTTTACGGCATCGTCCGCCCGTATTGTTCGATGATGGAAGTGAAATCCACGACGCCGGGGCCTCCATTTACACACCAACGACATAGATCTACACCTTACTCGCCCAGCTTCTTGGACAAAGTCTGGACCAACTTGGCTGCATCGTGAATGGCGAATAAGAAGGATGCACATGACGCTGTACGCCCACCGGTACCAAAGCGCAAGCACACACACACACATCAAGGCAGCAAAAAGCACGGAGTCAACCCCGAGTGTCCTATCGTGGACAACAACTTCCTAATAGAGTGTCCCTCACCGACAAAATTTCTCTACGGCCGATTCTTATCTCTGCACACTTTACAGATATCCGACCCGTGTTGGTTTTGATGAATTGGGTATCCTTCTCGGCAAGATGCCCAGAAATCAGTTCCATGATGAGGCCATCTTTTTTCGACACTCTTTTTTTTGCTGAACACCACCGGCTAGGGGTAATAAAGGGGAGACACCATCCGTCAGGAAGGATGAGTGAGTGTCTGGCGAAGCTAGGCTCGCGGTTAAATCTCAAGCAACCGGAGAGCCGGGACGCGAAGATAGGGTCGGTCAAGTCGGTACTTTATAGTCCGAGAACCCTTGATTATTTTTGTGCGTGCTGCTGCTGCTGCCTTTGTCAATGGCCGCGTCGCCCCCTTTCCCCTTTTCATGGGGTTTGTTTACATATATCGACGTCAGTGCGTCAGCATATTGCGCAAGCGTTTCACGTCCAAGCCACTGTGGTTGAGGATGTTGCCATCATATCATATGGAATTGTAGTAGTAATGGTAAGTTCTTACGAAAGAAGAGATACGTCTACGGGATTCTTTTTCTCTTATCAGTATCTAGATGAAATTCTGCAAGCCGCAGTTGCAGTTGCATATGTAAGTGATTCTTTTTGGACAATGATAGATTTTTCTTTCCATGGTAGACGGAGGAGGGGTGTGAGCGCATATATGCGTCGTCGGTTGTCGGCGCCACGCATGTTTTTTCTTTCTTTTTGCGACATTGCGGCTCAATCAACGGCTTTGTTTATTATTTGCAGGTAGGGGAAAATATTACAATATATATATATATATGTATGTATGTTGTGCGACCTATATTGATATACGGAATCTTTGGACACAACTTTCGATTGGATTCGATTGATGATGAATCTTGTTTTCCATTATTATTGGATGAAGGTGTGAAGGAATTTCGGAGAGGATTAATTGATTTGTTTATTCATTAGCAACCGGAGGTTTGTTCCTATGTATGTGTTTTGATGTTTTTTTCTCTTTTCCTTTTCATGACTGAGGTGGTGAGGGGAATCTTTTTTATTTTATTTTATTTTCTTGATTTCAACAAAAAAGAAAAAGGAAGAAAAGCAACGAATGGTTCAGAACGAGATATAAAAAGCTTAATTCCAATTCTCTACGTGCAAACTTGTCGAAAAACAATATGCAACTTCATCACTCAAGGATAAATAATCAAGTTTTTCTCTTTCTCAACAAAATCAATTTTTCCCCACCTTTCTTTTTTTTTCCCTTTTTCCCCGTCCTTTTGTGATTCTTCCCAATGGATGCGAGTAAAATTTTGTTACCGAAGAAAATTGTGTTTGTTGAAAGTTCAATGTCTTTTTCTGGATATGGTGGGTATATATAAACTTGAATTCCGATAAGTTTATACCAGAACAAACGGTGGAATGAAGCAATCAGGGTGACTAGTCTAGTGGTCAGGACGCTTCGTTGTGGTTTGAGATGCACTTCTCAATACATGACGACCCGAAGAAACCCCGGTTCGATTCCGGGGTCGCCCAATTTTTTATGTTTTTTATCATGTGGATGAAGTATTTTGGTTGTCTTTTTTTCTTCTTTTTTTTTCTATGTTATTTTTTAGGGGCCCTCAAGTCTTTTTTTTCTTCTTCTGGTTTGTTATGTGTGTGTCTTTTGTATGGACGTTATCTTTTGGGTTTGATGCCTTTTTCTCCCATCAGGGTTTGATTGCGATTGATGTGGGTGAGTTACTCTTTCCCAGGTTGGTAATATATGGAATCTGCTGCTTAACTAATAACTGTGGTTTTGAACGTTTTCTTCTAACTCGTCATGTTCATTTCCCCCCCTTCTTTGTCCAGGTTTGGTAGCGTTTCCTCTGCAAAGTGTGTTGACTGTTTATCTCCTTCTTTCCGTTTTTATTTTCCACTTCCTGTAACTTACGAAACCTTCTTTTTCTGTTTCATTTCAAGAAGGAAAACACATGTTGGATGTCATGATGAATTACAGGATTCATCATATCATATTTGTTTGTGTGCCTGCTTTCTTGCGTCTTGGAACTGCATAAGCGAAGCCCATAACCACACAACCTCTTTTTGGATTGGCATGCAGAAATTAATATATGTAGTGTAAAGGATGGTTACAATAACGGACGTACATAACGACATGGTTTCTTTTCCTTCGCTTTTAAAGTGCATGCAGAAGCGAGCTGATGTTGGTCCACACCGGTGAGCAAGGGGGGGATGAGTTGACAGATGAGAAGGAATGGCGCGCGGACTGGGCCGTTGCGGGTTTGTTTGCTTTTTTTTTTTCTTTCTTTTCTTTTTCTTCTAGGTACTTCTATTACTTATTATTTATTTCCTTTCTGGAATTATCTTTGTACTTTTTTTTATGAAGAGAAAGGGTGAATTATATCTCTTTTTGTGGTTATGTGATGATAATGTGATCTGTGTGTGCAGAAAGAAAGATTCATGATGTGATTGAAGACACCTCAGATCGCGGAGATAGTGACATAAGGAGTAGAGTAGCTGCCGACATGGAATCTCGGACCGAGAATAGGGCCTGTCCGGTATGCGTCGCTCGACCCTTAACGCATCCTTCTGTTTATTGGCTGGTGGTATGGAAGGATCTCGCGCGCAGTATATCGATTGATCAGTGATCTACGAAATGTAACGCCATATCGCATCGATTTCATGTAGGACTTTTCTTCCAACAGTGATGTTATAATGCGCTTTCATATTTTCTGCACTTTCATCTGGACTGACTTTATCTTGCAGGAAGAATGGTTCCCCTCATTGTTGTTTTCATGACGAAGAAACCTGGGTTTGGACAAGATCAACTGGCTGCCCGGTTTGGCGTCATTAATAATTCATTGGATGCAGGCAGGTTGGTTAAATTGGGTCGCGTATGAATGTTTAAAGTATTTGCACACCATCTTCTGTTTTGATTGGGTTTAATGGCTAGATTGTTGTTGATTTATCTTGACAAATACCTTACTTCCAAGCCACCATCCATCCTTCAGTATACGCAATGACCGTTATCTGTCTTGCGGTTTTGCTCCAAGATGGAGGGTCACCTTTAATTCTACTTGGTCCGCGGCTCATGACGGGAACTAAGGAGCCGTTTAAGAACGTGGTTGTGAAATAACTTGCCCTTGAATACTTTGGTAGGGAGGGTGTGATGAATGTCACCCACACCAGTCACACCTTGTTTCTCTTCACCTATACGTATTACACCGCACTTCGCTTAAGTTCTGTTTAGGAAGTCGAAAGAAGCTCGGGTCCGGCAGTCCGTTTGGTTTGGTTCTGACTGAATATCCAAGAACATGTTCTGGACTCTTGAGAGGGTGAAAACGAGAAGGAATAGGAAGTGATCAACCATGACTCTTGTCTTTCTTCTCTTGATTATCTATGCCAAGGGCTTCGGTAGGTTATAACTCTCCGGGCTGGTGATATATCGTTCCAATAAGTGTTTGCAATGGATATTATGATCTGTCACATAATCTAGAGAGTTAAGGAGAGGGCGGGGAAGACGGGATGGAGACTTGAAGGGAGGATTTTGTGATGGCGAATAGACTTTCTTCCTTGCGAGCGCTTTGAACATGTTTTCTGATGAACCGTCCCGTCCCGCTCTTTTCCTTAGCTTTTCCGTGTATTGTAGTATGTCTGTGTGTACGGAATGCATCCCCGTGATGAATAAGATGTGTGGTAATATAGCGGTTCATGGGATGGATGGTCTTGAAAGCGTGGCATCGCAGATCCAGACCTTCCTGACCGATGAGGGGAGTCTGTATTCCATGATGAGCCGGCAAAACTTGACATATGTGAGGTGGTCTTGGTACATGTACATGCAGTTGAGATCAAGCATGTACTCTTTTCATGTAGTGACCAGATGAGTTTGTGTAATTTTACGTTTTGATAGCGAGACACCCCTCCAGATTTAGATAATTTCTTTTTTGCTCAATTGGGTAGTAAACGGAGAGGTTTATTTAGGGCTCATAAGATTATGCTGATACATAACAAGATGTGGGAGATTTGAATCATCTCATCACATTGCATAAGATTGGTTCTAGTGGTTCAACCGACCTGCGTGTTATTTGTGAACATCTCCTCCATCAAGGAGAAGTGGGTTGTTGCTGTCTCACTAGCCCCTGAACCCCTGAATCTTCAAACAACACCAAGACAGACAAAGGGAGAAAGAACAAGAAAGACGGAGGATGGAAAATAGAGCAGGAAAGAAAGGAAAGAAAATCAGGAAGCTAGAAATAATATATTTCAGCAAATTAAGGCACCAAAGGGAATTTGATGAAAAAAGAAGAAACAGTTTCCCTGGTATCTTCTTTGGCTTTCTTTTCTTCCTCCTATCTAACCTATACCCACCAATAACTCGATCCATACCCAAACCCACTTTGACAACAATGATAGCTGATCGATCAGGTATCCCTGTATTTACAATTCCCTCCTATGATACCAGGCTCGGTGAGAAGTGAGACGGATCATGATATGATCTGGGTCTAGCTTATCTATAATATTGAAAGTCAGACAAACAGAAAATAAAAATAGAGAGAGCTTACTACCTACGCTGCTCAACACCGGCCGGCTTCTTATCTAGAAACGTAAAGCGAAACAAGGCAAACACGGTCTATCTCTTTTATACATGAATACATTGGGAAACATAAAGACCCGGACAAGAGTCCCATACTCATCGAGTAAAAAAAACCCAGATAATAATTATATAAAAAGACGAACAAAATTTTATCGAATTCCTCCAAGGTATAATATACTCTATCCCAAAACACCTAAAACAAAAATCTTCAATAACCTCCTACCCAACCCAAACCCTCCATCCCCCATCCCCTTCCTCCCCCTCCTCCCTCTTCACACTCCACCACCCCCCCTCCCCAACCCTAACAATAGTCCCATCAATACAAACAACCCTCCAACTTTCCTCCCCCCTTCCCTCCAAAACCTCAACCCTAACCTCCTCAACCTCCTCATACCCAACCTCCTCCCTCCCAACATGTTTCCCCCCATCATAAGCCCCCCTCATAATCTCCATAGTCCTTTCCTCTCCCAAATCCCCAAAGTAAACCAATCTTAATCTCCCATCCAACCTCCTCGACTCCGGCGAAATAGTAAATGTCTTCTCCAAATTACTCACGAGCGTCACAAGAACATAACCAAACTTTTCTCCCTCTCTAACCACCCTAAACCCCTCCTTTCCCTTGGTTCTGATACTAACAACACAATCATACCCATGATTCAACTTCAACAACTCCCCAGCAGCCATACCAAACCTCTTCGCTCCAAACTTTCGGTAATGATCCGTATCGCTCTCGTAAACTAAACTGGCATGAAATCCATAACTAGCTACTATCGCCCCCTTTAAACTCTTTACCTCCTCTTCCGTCTCAACAAACTTTGATCCAGCAGAAAACACCACTCTAAAAGTAGGTAATTTCCTAACTTGTCCTTTGATTAAAGTCCTCAACGCCACTACCAACGAACTTGGACTCTGACTTTGACTTTGTTCCTCATCTTTATGTAAAGAATGAAACAATGCATTAGCAGTTCCAAGAGGTAGCAATATAATAACCGGACTTTTTGTCTCGGAAGCAAAAGAATTGATCAAGTCAACTACCCCGCCGTCACCACTTAATAAAAGAATGATTTCATCTCCTTGTAACTGTGAAGCAAATTCTTTGATTGTGTTTTTGGAGGTAGTGAGGGTGAGTTTATATTGAGAGTCTTGAGTGAGTCCTAGAGTGTTTAATAGAGGGTTTAGGACTGTAGAGTAAAAGGATGAAGCGAGTTTTAGGCCGGAATGAGTACATAATAGGACGTGGATTGGATTGGATGGATGTAAATGGGCTGGAGGGGTGTTTTCGGGTTGGAGGAGGAATTTAGTTAAACTGGTTGGGAGTTGAGATGAGGAGAGGTTTGTAGTTGTGAGTATGAATGGTGGAGTTGAGTTTTCTTCGGTGGAAGAAGGGTCGTTTTCGATGAGAGAGTATATCAGGTATCCTTTTGACGGAGATGGAGTGATGAGAACCATTTGATCATGGTTGAGTTTCTCTAGGATGGTTTCATCGTTCTCCGGGGAATTGTTACTCATGATGAGAGTGTTATTTTGTTGTTGCTGCTCCTCGTTGTGAAATTTCTTATTCTCGGCAGCATCAAACGTATTGGTGGTTGTTGCCTTCTTATCAGTGCCACCAACCGTTGAGGCCTTCTTGCCTTTGCGCTTCCGAAAAGGTCGGACGAACCACCGAAGAATAGACATTGTTTCTGTCGACCGCGGGGTAATCTTTTAAATCTTGAAATGATTGAAAGAAACCAGAAAAACAAAAGTTCAAAGTTCAAAGGAACAAAAAGAATAAAAATCGCTTCGAGTTCAATTGTACATGTACACACAAAGACTGTTGAAAAACGTTGATTTTTAAGCGTCAGATTTGAGATCCGAGATGCCCGGGGAAAAAAACATCAAAAGTTACACAATCCAACCCACCACCACCCATTTTGAGTCAGTAATCGCCGGAGCCGAGAAA